TCCGGCTTTGGTGAAGCGATCCTGGGCCTTGGCGTCTGCGCCTAGCCATGGGGGGGAATCCGATATGTCCACTGATGCCTCGGTTACTATCTGGCTGCTGAGCGCCGGAGGGACAAGGGCCTTGGCAGGGTATAGCGCTCTGAAGTCCCGATCCAGGATGTGATCCAGGGTGGCCGGACCGATGTTCCATATCGGGACCAGGCAGCGTCGACAGCGCCAGGTGGCGTTCCATCTGCGCTCCCACCAGGCTATGGCTCGCTTGTCGATGGGCGGCAGCCCCGCCTGCTCGGGCACCCCTATCCCCTCCGCTGGCTTCCAAAGGAAACAGCCCAGGGGCGGGGCCCCTGCGCCCCAGACGAGGAGCGGAGCCCCCTGGGGGCATGTGTCGCACCGCGCGGAGTAGATCTGGCTCTGGGCAGCTTTGAGGCCCAAGCGATCATCCCGAATCCGTAGGATGGGAATGGTGGTGTTGGCCCGCTCGGGGATCTTCATGCCCGTCGGCGTCATGATGAGGTCCGATGGGGTCCTCGTGTCCGCCTGGGGGCTGCATCCAAAGCCAAGTGGAAGGTGGCCCAGGGAGGGGAGAGCGTCCGCTTTGTCGTTAGCGCCACTCGTCCTCCGCTGCTCGTGCTCCTTGACCTTGTCGGCAATTGTCGCCGCCGTCGGAGTTGTAATGCCCTGATCCTCCAGGTAACGTAACCAGCAGGTCTCGCAGTGCCACCCCATGTTGGCGCCGTTGAGGTAGGCCTGGGGCCTATTCTGAGCGACCATCTGGCGCGTGTCGTCGGAGATCCAGGTTCCATCGGTGGGGCGTAGCTGGTCCCTTCCACACGTGTCGCACCTGAACCTGCCGTTTTTCTGCTCGGGTGCGAGCCTTTCGTCAGGGATGCGTGGGGGGTCCTGCTTGGTGCCCGGGGCGGGGGCGGGCGGCAGGGGGGCGTTGAGGTCGGTATTTGATAAGGCAGAACCGCCGCCGATGTATGCGAGCCCCGCAAGTCGATCATCGGGGCCCAGGGGGGCGTCGGTCCCCGCCAGCGCGACGTGTAGCGTGCACACCGAGCAGCTGTGCGTACCCAGGGAGGCCAAGGTGGCGGCCGGAACGATCTTCTCAAGGACGAGCATTGGCGCTTTCAGCTGAAAATCCTGCCTGTCCATTTCGCTCCAGGTCTGCGGGCAGCCAGCTGCCCGCGCAATCGGGTGGTGGTGCGCTACCGCCACGAGTTTGGAGATGTGGGGCAGGATTGCCTCGATGCGTCCGTGAAGGTCGGCGAGGTCGTCTAGCGTGAGGCTCCAGGTTCGGGCAAATTCGTGACGGAAACCTCGGTGCGCCTCTTGCCGGGGGGCACAGAAACCCAGGATGGCTTCGATGACGTCTCCGGCCTGCTCTGCATGGGAGAAGGGCCACAGGAACACGCGCGGCTCGCGAAGCATGGTCATAATGACGACCAGGGGCGACCGGGCCTTGCAGGATTCCATGGGGAGGCCGTCGGTGTCTATGATTCCCTTGCGGATCTCCTCCCGCTTAGAGCCGTCGAGCGCGCCGAGGAGGATTTCTTGTAGCCCGGCCTGACCAGGGTGCTTCCTGTGCCTGCAGCAGTCCTTGGTAGCGGTGCTCCATGCCTTGGGAACCTGCCGGAAGAGCCGTGCACTGGCGCCGCCCCCAGAGTGTTACACGCCTCCCTTTGACGTGAGGCAACGGTGGAAGGGAGTCGTCGTGGACTGCGTAGCTCGTGTCTTGCCAGGGGGTGCCCAGGCCGAGTGTCCACGCAATCGCGGCCCATAGCATGTTGTGGACAAGATTGGTAGCGTCTAGTCCCAGGGACATGTCGAACAGGAAACCCAGGTGCGACCACGCCTTGCGGTCGAGTTTGCCCGGTTGTCGCGGTGTCGACGCCAATGAGAACTCGTGAGGATGCAGTCCGGACATCAGGTAGATGAGCACGTGGAAAGCAGGCGTCGAGAGAATGTCGTGGAGACCGCCCGAGATTAGCGTACCCAGGGTGTCCCAATCGAAGTGCTCGTCCAGGGGCGTGTTGTAGCGTTCGGCGAAACCGGTGGCCTGGGCGTCGCGCGCTTTCTTCCTGGCCGCGTCCAGCTCGCTTTGCCCGCTCTCCCCCTTTGCGTCGCAGCTCCGGGTAATGGGCGAGGGCACCCAGGAGGCAAGGTCGCGCAGTGGTTCGAAACTCTCGTCGATGTCCAGGGAAGTCCTGTGGCCCAAGGAGGCGCTGCCACGAAAGCGAACCCAAAGGCGGGTCAGCCGCCCATATTCGGAGAGCACGCGCAGCTGGGACCAAGTGGCAGTGGCAAACGTACGCCCGTCTCCCAGGATCAGGATGTTCCGCTTGGCCCTGGTGATCGCCACGTTCAGGCGCTTGGCGTCGTCGACAAAGCCCCAGTTGTGGTTCCCGTTGCTCCTCGTGGTTAGTACAATTACGATGTCCGCCTCTCCTCCCTGGCTGGAGTCGATGGTGGTGAGCTTGAACGCCCCACTCTTCATGTGCTCGCTCGCAATCTGACGGAGTCCAGGGAAAGAAGTGCCGATGGCCGTTTGGGCGCAGCGGTCCTCCCGAAAGACGGATTCCCATCGCTGAACGTCCACCCTGTGGCCTTGAGGGGGGGGTCCAAGACCGAGTGTGTCTTGTCCGTCGCGGGCAGAGCCGCCTTTCCCTTTGCCTGCCTTCCCCTTCCTGCCACCCTTAGTATTTCGCAGGACGCCGGATAGGTGGCGGGGGCCCTGCGGCCAGCCATCCGTGAGGATAGCTGTCTGGAGCTGGTATCCAAACGCGATTCTGACAGAGGTGCCTCTCTCAAGCTCGGGCAGGAGTGCCCGCGCGATGTTCACGGCCTGCGCTGCCTCGGGAAGGTTGGCGTAGCCTGGTTGGAGGTCTGACGTCACTTCCCAGGAGGGTGTGTCAACCAACAAGAAGCGGTGCTTGTCTCCACTTGGCGGTGGGTCCAGTTGCTCGAGGGTCGTGCGGAGATCGCTCTCATCGGAACAGGTGAGGGACGCCAGCTCTGCCAGTCTACCGGGTTCCCAGGGTGTAATGTCTCTCCATGGGATACCTTCGACGATTGGCCTGTCCCTGAACGGGTCCATGATACCGGACATCATGCGCTTTCCGTAGTAGGCTGCGTTCGGAAAGGCGAGCAGCTGCGGATGCATGCGGTAGCAAATCGAAAGGTGAACCACGGCCGACTCTTGGCCGCGAAGCGCGTGAAACATCCTGTCGAAAATGCTAACAGTTCGCAAGCATGGAAAGCACTGTGGGGGGCAACTGGTTCGGATCGCCCACCAGGACCAGGGCACCGCCGCTATTGATCAGATTTACCATGGACATGAGCGCGTGGAGCTCTGTGGCCCCCCAGCTTCATCTATTACCAGGAGGACGATGTGGGGGCTGTCCTTTTGTCCGACGGCCTCGGCCGCCTCGTGTGTGGACATGATTACCCTGGCATCTCGTAGTAGGCTCGCTTTGTAGGGCCTGAAGTCCTGGCTTTGTCCCCGTCCTGGAACGGGAATTCCCCGTGGGCGCTCTTGTAGTGGCCCTCCGGCGTCAGGTCGACGAGCGCTTCGTTGACACGGTCCTTCCTTGCCAGGCGTACGAAATTCCCAGGAAACCCCGTGTCTGGGTCGAGGCGTTGCTGCCGATGTGCTTCGACCATTGCCAGAGCTGGTTGGTCCACCGCTGTTGGAACCTGCAGCCAAAGCAACTGCCTGCCTGTGGGGATACGCGAAGCGTCAAGACTTGCAATACGAGAAAGGGAACGGATGACCCCGTGGGGGGGCGGGGTAGGATGCAATTGTTTCAAGAAAGGAGGGCCCATGCGATGCAATCTCTGCGGTGCAATCTATGTTGTGCAATCCAGGGCTGCGACGAGGCGGCGACGGCGGATACATAACCGCCAGACCGAAGACACGGCCCAGTATCTTCGAACAGAACTACAAACACTAAGTGAAAGCACTGTTTGGGGAGTATGTACATATGTATATGTATATGTTATATTTGTATGTATGTATGTATGTATGTATGTATGTATGTATGTATGTATATATATATATATATATATATATATATATATTATCTTATATATATATATATGCATATACATATGCATATACACATATATAACTACACGTGCCCTTCGCCGCCTTCCGCCGAGCTTCCGCCAGCGGGCCCGCCGATCTACCTCCGCCGAGGGCGAGGACGCGCCCCACACGCGGCTCCCGGGGTCGCCCCCCCCCCCCCCCCCCCTCCACACACGCGGGAGGCCCGAGTGCGCGCGCGACCTCGAGCCTCGGACGCCCGCGGGCACGGCGGGCCTCCGCCGGCGGCGGAGACAGCGTGCCGTCCGGTCCGCGGGCACGCGAGGTCTGCAGGCCCGCCCTCCTCCTCCTCCTCCTCCTCCTCCTCCTCCTCCTCCTCCTCCTCCTCCTCCTCCCCCTCCCCCTCCCCCTCTCCCTCCCCCTCCCGGGCACGCGGGCACGCGAGATCGACAGCTCGATATCGAATCGGCGACAAACTGGACAGGCAGGGGCCGGAAACACTTTTTGCGTCGGCGGCGAGGCAAAGGGAGTCTGCGCCTGGCGGAAGGGCCTGATGGGGCGGATGGTGCCATCATGCAAGAGGGGGAGAGGGAGGGCGCGGCCGAAAGAAGGAGCGGAAAAAGAAAAAGCCGGAAACACGCGTACCGAGCCTGCTCGAAACCGTCGCAGGCCAAGAAAGGGGCACAGACCGTCGGTGCCTCTGTGCCCTTCCGGGCCTGCGAGGCCAGGAACAAGGAGATGGGGTGCCAGGAAGAGGTCGTCATGACAATCAGGAGTGAGGCAATCAGTCGAAAACCAGCAAGCCCGAAGAAAGTGTGGGCTCACGCCCCAAGCTCCTCATCCTCCACGTGCCCTGGGCGCCCAGGGGTTGGCATCTCGATCCGCCGTGCACGGCCGGTGGCGGCGAGGCTGGGGGATGGGGAGGGAGTGGGGGAGGAGCAAGGGGGACGATGGCTTACACGGGGCTGGTAGAAACGCCTTCGCTGACTGCAAGTCTGCCTATGTTCAGCTCGCTCGACAGAAGAGATATGCACGTCGCAGATACCCCGTGGCAGGAATAGACTGAGGTGTGCAGATCCCTGTGCTGCGGCATTGTGGGCGCAGTAGTGCTGAGGCAGGGATCCCTCGAAGCCTGCTCAAAGTTCTTTCTGCGGCGCGCTCCCGCCTCCGCAGTCCTGCGCTCCCGCCTCCGCAGTTTCGCGGCGCGCTGCGCGGACCGGCGCTGGCACGGGCGGCGGGGAGGATCCCGGCTTTGTCTCGGAGGCTGCCAGAGGTGACCCTTTGACGTTGACGAGGAAGGGGGGATGCAAGCCAGGTGCGCCCGCGCCACATCTGGCATCCTGTCCGCCCTCCCGTCTCTTCGCGTTGCGTTGACTCTTTTCTTGATCCGCGGACGCGTGTTGCAGCTGAACTGGACCCCCCCCCAAGAAGACCAATCGTGTCATGCGCCGTCGGTGACGGGAAGTTGCGTACATGGGAGTAGGAGGAGAAGGTGGCGGGTGAGCAGGAAAATGGGCAGGAGGAAAAGGAGGATGAGGCAGGATGCGGACGAGGACGAGGACGAGCAGCAGCAGCAGCAGGAATGTAGTGGAAATGGAGTGGAAGGAGTGGGATGAGCAGGAGGACCAGAGGAAGGCGGCGGAGGGGAAATGACGGGGGCGACAACGATGAAGAAGGACTCGGATCCAGAAGGGTGGCCCGCGCTGGAGCAAGAGCGCCATCTTGAACGACGGGAGCGCAGCACCGATCCGAAAAGGAGGCCCACGCCGCAGCGGGAACACTAATGTGAAACGCCGAAAACAATCGGATCGTAAAAACACATTTTTCTTTGATCCGCGGGTCGAGAGCGAGCGTCTTCCGATAGAAGCTAAGCGGACCACGGACAGCTTTAATTAGCAGAGGGGGGCAAAAGAAGGCAGGGCCTCACGTCAAGGCCAAGAGAGGGCAAAGCCCTGGGATCAGGCGGTGCCGAGATCGAAATGCAAGAAAAGGTACGCCTTGGGCAGGAACCTGGTGGCGAAGTCCTGGGAGGCGAAAAGCCGGTGGTGGTGCCGTCAGCGGCGCTTCGAGTACACCAGCCCCACCAACTGCGGGGGAGGACGTGCCATGTAACGAGGACGACGCCTGAGAGGAAGAGGATCACCACTGGGTCGGAGTGCAACGTTGTGCCACCAAACAGGATGCCGTAGAAGCCCAGGCCGTGGTAGTCCAAGGTGCCACGAACATGGGAGAGCAGCCGCCGGATCGTCTAAACACACATGAAAATGCAGCTCGGCATAAGTCTGCGTGTAGGAGACTTATGCCGAGATCTTCTGGACAGGGTCAGGGGAGAGAGAGGGCCCCGGGATCTTCTGGACAGGGTCAGGGGAGAGAGGAGAGTCGCATATCCTTGTTCGTGGCAGACGTTCGGAATATTGGTCAGAAAGACCATCCATCGGCGACACATCGCCGATTGATGCGCGGCAGCCTCGGCGACGCACCGGCGACACATCGCCCCCGCTAGCGAATTTCCGCGCGTTCCTGGGCGGGGTGGACTATCACGCACCTATCGGCGATCAGTGGGCGATTGGGGGTTGATGCGTCTGAGCCTCCCCCCCCTTCATCATTGCCCCTGATTGAGTCAGGGGTCACCGCTGGCAACGCCCGATTGTCACTGGCCCAGGGGCCCCTCGGGCATGGGGGGCCAACCACACACAACACACATACAGAAATGCATACCTCGGACGTCCACAGGGCGGCAGAGTCCTCGCCAGCGCCAGAGCTGCGCCCCCGCGCTCCCGGGCAAGGGTGTCGGGAAGGGGTTCCTCGGTCGCCTCACCTCGCGCATCGCGCTCCGCGCTGCGCGGCGCGCGATCATCCTCGCGCCCTCGTGCCGCCCCCCTCGAGAAGGGCAGCCGCTCTGGCCCGGAGCGCCATGCGCGAGGAGCGGTTATGCCTCCGCGCCCCCGGCGGATGACCCATAGGCTCCGACGCCAGGGGAGAGCTGCAGCCTGCGAACGTGCGAAACTCAGGTCTGCGTGCTTCTCTGGCCTCCGGCTCGGGGGCGCAGCCTGCTGCAGCGGCTTCGGCCGCTTGCGGCGCGAGAGCGGCGGCGATCTCTCTCTCCGCTCCCTCTCTCTCTCTCTCTCTCTCCGAGACGGGAGGGCAGAGGAGCGGGCCCTGGTCCCAGACATCCGAGGTCTCGTTCTGTCTCCGCACGGGCCTACCAGAAGTCCCAGCTCTTGAGTTGTTTCCTCCTCCTCCTCCTCCTTCTCCCCTCCTCCCCCTCCTCCTCCGCCTCCACGTCATCGCCCTCGTCCTCGCTCTTCTCCTCCCCACATCCTCCTCGTCCTGACGCCCCCAAGGCCGTTCTCCCATCTTGAACTGTTTCATGACCCTCCCTGGCTCCAGAGGGCCCCTGGGGGTCCAACACGGCCAGGATCTCCCGTCTTGTTTCTGCTACACGGAATCGGATGTCTTGGGAGTGGGCGCTGGAAGGAGTCCTTGCCTTGGTAGGGCGACGGGATCAGTACATATCCACCGCCCTTGGCCAAGCCCATCCTGGCTTGCTTTGTGAAGCATTTGCGCCGCTCCTGGACTCGGGATGGGTCTGGCCAGGGGCAGTGGATATGTACAAAAGTAAGAAAAAACAACACCGGCATATACATAGAAGGTCAGCATGTATTTCTTGGATCGGCGCTGGCCCCCTACTGGCGTGCGGAGCGCGCCACGGGCAGATCTAAGAAATCCGCGCGGAGCTCCGCAAGTAGATGATTATCAAGACGTCTTTTCTAATGAAAGATATCTACATATCTATATATCTACATACATACATACATACATACATACATACATACATACATGCATGCATACATACATACATACTCACATACACACATACGCACATGCACATACATACACACATACACACATACACACGTACACACATAGTTACGCACATACATACATACATACATACATCCATCCATCCATACATCCATACATACATACATACATACATGCATGCATGCATGCATGCATACATACAAACATACATACATACACACATACACACATACAGGCATGCATGCATGCATGCATGCATGCATACATACATACACATACACACATACATATACACATACATACACACATACATACACACATACATACAAACATACACACATACACAAACACACACTTACATACATACTTACATACATACATACATATATGCACATATATATATATATATATACACACATATATATATATATATATATATATATATATATATATACACACATGAAGAACTATGGTCTCGCATGATGTGGGCGATCAAAGTAAGGGCCTCGCCGATGCATCGACGATGTATCGGTGACGTCAGCGATACATCGGCGACGCTGGTGTGGAGGACATCGGGCTCCCTATCGAGCCGCACCGCCGATACATCGGCGATGCGGCGCCATCCTCCGACCCCACCTGCTCGGAGACCGTCTGGGAGGCATGGAAAAAAGACGGCCCTGGCGGCGTGCGGCCCTGCCCCGGGCGTCACCGCTGCGGGCCGCAGTGCTCGAGCAGCACCTCTGCGGCTGGTGCCAAGCGGGGCCCGGGCGGAGAGTCAGGCCGGCCAGGCCGCCCGACCTCGTGCCTCGCGCCGAGTGGCGCCCTGCAGCTGGAGCGCGCGGGAGGGGGAACTTCCCGACGTTTGGGACAGAGGGTCGAGGATAGTTTCTTGTTGTTCCCCAAGCAGTGCTTGCACTTCGGGGTTCTTGCCCTGGGTGGGTCCGCCGAGGTTTCGCCTCGTTGGCGCCCTGGGACCGCCGCTGGGCGCTCGCGGTCGCCCCGTGCCCTGGGAGGGTAACACAGCCTGCACAACATAGCTCAGACCGCATCGCTTACACAACATAGTTCACACCCACTCCACATACATCACACTGCATAGCTGACCCAACGTAGCTCGAACCACATAAGTCACAAAACATAGCTTATACCATATAGCTCACACTACATAGCGTACAGGGACAACACCACATAGCTTACACCACGTTGCTCCGACCACATAGCTTACGCAACATAACTTGTACCACATAGCTCACACCACATAGCTCACTCCGCGTAGCTTTCACCTCCACGGTGCAAAAACTCACTACTTGGGATCCACGCAGGCTGACATGTTTTGTTTCGCGTGTTGTCGGTATCCCATAGTTGCGTTTTGCAATCCGCTGCCTGCCGTCATGCGCCGCAAGGAGAAACAAATTGTGGGATGTTCTGTGTGCGTGTGCTTGTTTTCCCACCTGCGTTCCTGTGCTGTTTGTCCTCGATATATCTCCGCTTCGCGGCGCGCATCCTCCCCTCCCACTCACTCCCGCTTCCTCCGCCCTCCTCCTCGCCTTCAGCCGAGTCGGCTCTTTGCCCCAGCGGGTCGAGTGTCGAAAATCTTTGACGCCTTGGCTCGCTTTTTGGCTTCTGTTTTTGTTGTTGCTGTCGTAGTAGAGTAAGTATTGTGGATCCACCCTCTGGATACCATTGTGTGTGTATATATATATATATGGCTTTTCTCACGATTCACTTGGGAATCGCGCTATCGCTCCAGCTTTCCTCGCGATTCATGCGGGCCCCACGCTTCAGCAACCTGCCTGCTCGACCTGGTCGCCTGGGCCCGCCTTCCCGACCTGCCCGCTATGGGTCTGCCCACCCGATCTGCCCGTATGGTTCTACCACTTGCTTTCTGCTCATTTCCCTCCATCTGCTAATTTCTCTCGTGCTCTCTTTTCTCCCTCTCCCTTCCACCCGTCTTCTCTTCCCTTGTTTTAGGGGCTGCACTACATGCGCGTGGCAGGTAAGTAAGATATACCCCCAAAGGTGTACGATCGAAGACGACGATGGCGGGTACCGAAGTTTGGGGATACACGTATTCATTGGTACGTGAGAAGCTAGCGAACAGTCTTAAAATTATTGAATGTCCATTACTCAACAATTATTATTGTTGGACCCCCCCAGGCGCTTTGGCGCTCTCGCCTCGGCGCCGGCTACATTTTCATTGAAAACGAGGCTCACGCTCGAGTGGTTTGGGGGGGTGCCCAAACCAGCCCCCCAACAACAACAACAACGCTCCCGCTCGAGACTTCCTCTTTTTTTACTCGGGGCCGGTGCTCTTGCTCGCCGCCGAACGCCGCCGTCCCAACAAAACCAGCGTTCCCGCTCGAGACTTCGTATTGTTTTACGCTGGACTGGCGCCCTACTCTTTTTTGCGTTGGCGCCGCTCCCGGCAACAACAGCGGCCCTGCTCGAGGCTTCCTCCCTTTCTATTCAGGGCCACCTCCTTGCCTCGCCGCCGACAGTCCCCATTCCCAACAGGGCAATCCTGTCGCTCGATACTTCCTTGTGCTTTACCCTTGGCTGGGGCTCCACTGGCGGTCTCGCATCGGCGCAGCAAGGCGCGGGCATGCGTTTTCGAGGCGGGATATGTTGAAATTCCTCGGAGGAGGTGATTGGAAGACCTCTTTGGGCGGGAGATCTGGGAATGGGGATAACGGACCCCGCTATAAAACAATAGTCCCCCATGATGGGGATGGTTATCATGATGGTCGCATGCTTTGTGTGGAAACATCGCGCATGAAGGTAACATGATTGTTGTTGTTGCTGCTGCTGTTTTCTTGTGTCAAGCAGGCAGCCGACTGATCCGCTGCCCCTCCAGGGGGCTATCCAGAACCCTCGGAAGCGCAGCAAACTCGAACCACGTGTGACGAGAAACTGGCAAGATGCACCAAGAAAACCCGGCGCCACGCGAGGGCCAACCTGTAATAGATGAGCCATCACGTGAAACCTTAGCTCGTGCAGAAGCTTGTGGCGATGCTTGCGCTGTCTGTGGAGGGGTGTTCAAAAGTTCCGCCATCAGACCAAGGTGCGGCCTCAAAGTGCAGACCCACGCGGACCCTTCGCAGGCCACTTGAATTCACCAACACGATTTTGTAAGACTTTTTTCTGTCAAACTGCATGGCCTTATACATGGCATGGTTCCGAAAAGCTCCGTGAATGACCGCGTAAACTTGGATGCCAAGCACGCGCGAAGAGAGATGGGGGGGAGGAGAAAGACGATGAGAGAGAGTGTGAAGGGGCCCTGGGAAACACAAATAAATACACACACAGATAACAGGATTCCCTATATTTTCCAATATTTTCTAGGTTTTTGACGTCCCTCCACTTCCGATATTTTCCAATATTTTCTGGGGGATCGTCGATTAATTGTAAGTGTGTCTGGGTGTTTTTTTCCCTCCTGAGAGAGGAGGGGAGGGAGAGGGACGCCTTGGCCCAGTTTTATGGGCCTCAAGAGACCTCTCATTATCTAGTTTTGCGCTCTGCGCTGGGCGAACAGCAAGGGTCTCCTCCTCCTCCTCCTCCTTCTTCTCCTTTTCCTCCTCCTCCTCCTTTTCCTCCTTCTCCTCCTCCGCCTCCTCCTCCTCCTCCTCCTCCTCCTCAAGGTCACCGAGACGCCCTGAGGCCTCTGGAGGTCCCTGGAGGAGTCTGAAAGCTTCCAGGAGCCAGAAAAATGGGCTACACACTTCCCATCAGTCCTCAATCCTCGCCCTTGGAAGCTCCTCTTCGATCCTTCGATCCCTCCATTTCTCGAGTCCTCGATCCCTCGGACCTCCTCCTCGATTCCCCGACTTCTCGATCCATGGGGCCCTCGATTCCTAGGTCCCTCCTCTTCGATCCCTCGATCCCTCGATCCCCTGGACCTCTTCCTCGATCCCTCGATCCCTCGAACCTCCTCCCGATCCTTGGGGCCGCAGCGCTACGGAAGGGAGCGCAGGATGGCGGCGGGAGGCGTGGGGACGCGGGGGGAGGCCGGGACGAGTAAGGGAGGCCTCGAGGGAGAAGCGAGGAGAAAACGAGGATGCATGGAATGCGTGCGTGCGTGCGTGCGTGCGGGCGTGCGTGCGTGCGTGTGTGTGTGTGTGTGTGTGTGTGTGTGTGTGTGTGTGTGTGTGTGCGTGCGAGTGTGTGTGCGCGCGCGTGTGTGGCGTGGCCCCCCTGCTGGCGGTCCGCTGCCGCGGGCGGCGCACCGCCTGCCCCAAACTCTGGCGCGGCGCCCCCTCTGCTGCTTCGCCCTCGGTTCGCCGCCCCGCTGCTCTGCCCCGCCCCGCCGCCTCTTCTGGTTCGCCAGCCCCGGAGCCCGCCAGGAGGTCTGGGGGAGGAGGGGGAGGAGGAGGAGGAGGAGGAGGAGGAGGAGGAGGAGGAGGAGGAGGAGGAGGAGGAGGAGGAAGAGGAGGGGCCCAGGGCGGCCGAGGCATGGAGGGCTCCGCGGTGCCCAGGGCCGCCTCCAGGGACGGCGGGGGGGGGCACCGCCGTCTGGGACGGCGGAGGTCGGGCGGAGGACGGAGCACGCCCGCCTGGCCCAGCGTCTTGCCCTGCGCCGGCCCCTCCTGCACCTCGTCGGGCAGCACGCTCCTCGGGGCCCGGCAGGGGCGACGCCCGGGGGGGAGAGGGAGTGGGGGCAGAGAGGCTCCTATGCTTTTCTGCTTCTCATTCGTCCTCCTCCTCGCTCTTCCCCACTCCCCTCTTCTCCTCCTCCTCGTCCTTCTCCCCCGTCGCCCTCCTCCTTCTGCCCCTCCTTCCCCTCCCACTGCCCCTGCTCATCTTCCTCATGCTCACTGTGCTCGTCAAACTTCTACTTCTCCCATGAGAAAACAAGGATGGTCTGGAGGAGAACAGTACGAAATATAAGAAGCGGTCAGACGTTCTGGCTTGCCAGGTCGAGGCAATTCTGCGTTCCGCCATGGCGAGGGCGGCAATTGCAACCCGTGGCAAGCCCCGGCCTCAGTGCACGGCATAACAAAGGTTAAAATCTGGTAATTTGGCTTTTCGACTTTTCGGCGGATTTGATCAGCGCCTGGCTCACTGAAATCCCGGGTTCCATTTTTGGACCTCGTCTATTTCCTCTTCCCTCCCATTCGCCCTCCTCCTTCCTCCTCCTCCTCCTCCTCCTCCTTGTTCAGGAACGTTGCAACAGTGTGCGCAGCCCCTGTGCAAGCACAGAGGGCCACTCTTCTCGGGCGATGTCCCTCCCCTCCTCATGCTCGCTTTACTCCTCCTCTTCGTCCACATGCTCCTCCTCCATCTCCTCCTGTCTTCCTCCACCCCTCTTCCTCATGAGCAGCCCAGATAAAATGTTCCCTGTCGCACAACCAGACCTGTCGTTGGGGCGGGCCAGGCGTCTCGCCTGCGACTCCATTCATAGCTTGTGATGACGAAGCTGGACAGTGGCTAGCGACTACACGGATGGGCTGCGTACTTTCTCAAAATGGGGATCACGCCTTAACTCCGCACACACACACACCACACACCACACACACACACCACACACACCACACACACACCACACAGACCACACACCACACACACACACACACCAACACACACCAACATACACCAACACACACACACACTTGTCTTAATCATATCCAACACGGATGGGGGGCGGTACGTTTCCAACATGAGGCTCTCGCCTTGGCATCACCCACACTTATCTTAATAGCGCTTCGCTTGCACATGCGGAGGGCGGCTCGTTGTCAACGTAGGGCACTCAGCTTGGCGCTTCGTCTCAGACATATGTATCAATCATACGGGTCGAAAACGATTCCTTGTCAAACTTCGCGTGCCGTTTGAAGTGTGTAACCCGGGCGAACTCCAAACATGTGCAACAATTGCACGGATGGAGGGCAACTCGTAAACACTGGTCCCTTGCTCGGGACGTCCTCGAATGCTATGCCGAGATATTTGCAATTGTGCGTGCAACGGTTACACGTGTAGAGGGCAAATGCTTTCCAAATCAGGGATATGGCTGGACACATTTTGAACTTCATGCGCCTTCCCGTTATCATTTCTTACTGCTAGAAAGATGGATGGCCTGAGCAGGCGGCCCACGGGGCGTTCCTATGTCCAGCTGGGCGGCTCCCGCAGCGGGAAAGAGTACTTGTAGGGACTTGCGAGGAGGGGGCGTGGACAAGGAGACAATCTTGCGTTCTCGTTGATGCACCTAAAAATTCACACTGGTCCTCCTCCTTGTGCTCTTCCTGCCCTGCTGAACGTGTTCTTTGGGCGCAAGGCTTGGGTGGAATCCATCGGGGAATGTGTACACCTCGAAAATGCAGTTGCCTGCGCGTCTGGTGACTTGCAGGATGAACCGTGTGCGGTGCATTGGCATTCGTACGCGCAGCGTTGGGCTTCCACTGCTACACAGTTGCGTCGTTTCCTCACGGGGATAATTAGGGAAGTCTTTCCAAGGCTTTCTGTGCCCCTCCCATGGTATGGAAACGATCGCGCGGGCTCCTTTGAACACGCGACGGACGCCCAACAAGTGAACGAACACGCGAAAATCGCCCGACAGGTAGATGAGCACACGAAAATCGCCTTACAAAATAATCCAAACTTATAAACTCGTCTTTCGAATTGTAGCATGTGTTTTCCAGTTCTAGAATGGGTTTTGCCATTCTAAACCCACATGGTGCTTTCGTTTGATACAATCCGGAACTATCGGGAATCTTAGAATTTGGTTTATCGTTCTAGCAATGCTTTAATGTTTCTCGAACGCACGTGGCGGTTCTATAATTTTCTTGCGCTCTAAAATTAGTTTGGCCGTTCTAAGAAGTCTTTCTAGGAATTCTGGAGAAAACGTGTGCACATTATGCTGGCGGTCAAGCTTCCAAGGCCTCTCTGAGTGTGACGGGAGGCACGCATGATCGGAGCCTAGAACGGCCCTTCGTGCAATCGGGCGCTGCGTCTGATCGGCACGAACTTACGTTAGTGCAGAATACCTTGTTTACCCCACTGCCGCAACTTGCCCGCAACGGTCTTGTGGAAGAAACTGACGGGCGGCGATATATTGGGCCAAACGGCATTTTGGATTCCATTCTATGCAAGCCAAAGAAAATGCTCGGTCCTGGACGCCAGAATTTGCTCGAAAACTGGTCCGCGGACCTTCGCTGGGTCCATCCTTCCCGCCGCTTTCTGGATTTTGACGGTCCTGGTGCCCGGAAGCAGCATCCAGCAGCACCCGGAAGCGATTTTTGTTTCCCCCTTCTTCTTATCTTTTTTGTTTGTTTGTTTTGTTTTTTGTCTCGAAGCTCGACCCAAGTCTTCAGAGGCCCAAGTGGCTGTCCATCGCGGACGGCACGGGGAGCTAGCAGCCCACTGGGTGCTCGCGGACTCCCCTGGACTGGGCACTTGGGCAGGAGAGGAGCGAGCTGTTCGCGCGAGGGCGAACAAACACTTCAGCGCTCCGACCATTCTCCTCTCTCTCTGCTGCCTGGCCCCCGCTCCCGCCGCCGCGTGCAGGCGCGGGACGCGCTGCGCTCCAGGCGGATGCGTCGGAGAACCCCTGCGGATAGACGTTCCAGTACACCGCGTCCAGCTGGCTGCCCGCCTTGTCAAACAGTCCGCTGTTCAGGATCATGTCCGCCTGCGACGACGCCAGCACAGCGAGCGGCAGGGGCGGTGGACGACAGGCCCTCGCCATTTCTGCTTCGCTCCTCCTCCTCCCTCCTCCCTCCTGGCTCCTCCTCCCTTTCTGTCTCCTCCTCCCTGTGAGTACCGTTTGACCGATCCCCATCCCCAGCGGCGTGGCCTGGGCCCCACTGGCTGATTTACCCCCTGGATGGGGACAGAGGTCGTCCCGTTCGGGTTTCGAGGGGCGCATCCCCTACTGGGGTGGTAATTTGGTGGGGGTCTCGAAGGGGATGGGGATGGAGGAGGAGGAGGAGGAGGAGGAGGAGGAGGAGGAGGAGGAGGAGGAGGAGGAGGAGGAGCAGGGGATAAACGATGCTGACTCTGGGCGCCGTTCCGGAGCGAGGGCCTCGGGGGCGGCCGCCAGGCCAACCGCGTGCCCCCTCTCCAGAGCAGCCCCCCCCCCCCACAGGTGCCGAGATCGCGCCCGCGCCACAGCCAGGAGGGGAAACGAAAACGCACAGACACACCGAAGCGTCGATCCCCCATAATATATATATATATATATATATATATATGGGGAAGACAGAAACCCAGAGAATGTGGGCAAAGCTGGGGGCTCTGGTGATGTGTGTCTCTGGATCTGTGTGTCCCAGCTCCCCTCCGCACGGGCGGGGCGGCGGCGCCGACGTGCCGAGGCCCGCGGGCACCGGGAGGCCGCCCGGCACGGGCGCGCCCGCTGTGCCGGGAGGGCCCAGGGCCGGCACGCGGCGCAGAGACGTGGCCGCAGCCCGCCTCGTCGACCAGCACCACAGCTACAGTCGGCCTTGATTGGAGAGGAAACGCGAGAGGGCACAAGACCCTTCCGAGGGCCACATCGCCATAGGAGTGAAAGAAGGCACGTGTCGCGAGGCACAGGACACAAGGGTACCCTTGAGCTGGCAGGGTCGACCTACTAATCCGGGCCGACTGTACATGGCAGAGTCGTGGCCGCAGCCCGCCTCGTCGACCAGCACCACAGCTACATTTGTGGATGCCATGGCAGTGGACATCCTGACAATCCTATCACTGAATGAAAGATGTGTTTAAAGAGTGTAAGATATATTAAAAACATGTTTCAAACATGTTTCTACATATGCAGAACATGTCTTTATACATTTAGAACATGTTTTCACCTCTACCCCCCACGATTTCTGAGGGGGAGGGTGGGGTTCACTTCGTTCGGGAGCTCCCGAGCGGAGTGAACCCCACCCTACCCCTCAGAAATCGTGGGGGGTAGGGGTAGGGTTCGCACGTGGCCCCCTAACAGCTACATGGCAGGCCCAGAGGCTGGCACCGACACCACAATCGGCGGTGTGCCTCCGCCGAGGGCAGATGATCCCGATATTGGTGATGGTGCTGATCTTCTGGCTTCCCAGGCGGCCGAAGTATTGCCACCAGCACTGGAATCTATAATCAGCCTCCTCCAGTGGGCGCACCCCGCTGTTTTGGTGTTGGTGCCAGTTTCGAAGCCTCCAACTACAGTCGACCCGTATCGTAAGGATGCGCGATAAGGATGCAAGGGCCCTAGGCGCCCATCTCGAAGCTCTTCGAGCGGGGCGCGGACAGCGAAAGTGGCCAGGCATGGGGCCGAGGAGGCAGGGAGGCAAGGGTGCCCTTTGGAAGGTTGCCCATCCTTACTATGCGGGTTGACTGCGCAGCGACATGGATCGCCAAAGAGGTCCTCCTTGTGTGCGTTCCTCTCGCCCGCCATGGGCAGCAGAAGGTGCAGACCGACCAGTGCAGGAAGCTCTGGGAGTGCCCGGCCTGTGCGCACGCGAACGATCGGCCTCCCACGTCGCGTGCCAAGTGCGCCGACACCAGTGTTAGATCGGGCATGTCCTCCTACAAGGGGCTTTTGGACGAAACTTTACACATGGTCAAAAAATATTCAAACTATCCAAATATTGGCAACACATCGTCCCCAGACTTTTTTGTTTGCTAAACTCTGTTTGAATGTTCTTCCTGTAGAGGGACATGCCCGACTTAACACCAGTGATTCCCAGCATGCGCAGTATCCACATGATGGGGCACGCCGCCAACGTGGTCGCCTACGCAGTCAGCCACCGAGGAGGCACCCAAGCCGCCAGCCCTCCAAGCAACCCGCAAACCATGATGAAACTGAACTGCTTCCCATTCTACCGTGTTCTCCCGAAGCCGCAAGAGCACACCGCAAGTGGAAATAACCTTCCACGGAAACGCGTGCACTAAGGGAGTACTGTGAGGGCCTGAATTCAACGCTCGGGAGCCTCGAACGACAGATCAGATGCTCCCAGGACCTCAAGCTAGAGCACACGCAGACCGAGAGCCTCGAGGAAGAGTTCAGCGTGGTCCTGTTCCAGCTCATGTGTCCCAGAGCCTCCCCAAGTCAGGGTCTCCAAGCAGCACTTCGTGGCCAGGTGCCGTAGGCTTGCTGATGCACAAGCTGCTTTCAACGGGGCGCAGACGCTCCGCGAGACATGTGAGGACCAGGTCGACAGCTTACAAGACGAGCTCGGCCAAGCAGAACACTTACCTACATATTTCGATAACTTGGAAGGAGAAAACGAATTACGCCGTCAAGCAAATCACCGTGCTGCCTCCCGCAAGGCATCACATCACGCTCAGGACGACATGGATGATGAAGAGGACGACGAGATGAACCTTTCCAGCTTTGGTCCTCGCCGTAATGGACCAGCTTCAACAACCAGTCTAGCATCGACGGCTCCAGTTTTGGTCCCTTCTCAACGACAAGCACCTCTGCAGACACCTGATGAAATTGAGAAGGAACACATCGCGTCGACCCCGCATTTTCAACATTCAAACCAGCAGTTGCTCGACGAGATCATGAGCTTCAAGAGATCCATGAACGACCTTACCAACCAAGTCGAGGGCATCAAGACGGAGAGGCAGCATGACCGCGCGGCCATTGAGGCAATCTCGCCGAGGTCATCGTCAACAAGTGCAGGCCCAAGAAGGACCCCCTGGCTGGGGAAGAGAACAAGGCAAGATTCAACGCGGCTTTCACAACAGGAAGGGCTCGCTCTACCTCGCCGCGCCGTACCACCAGAGAAGCAAGCAAGAAGTTGCTCAAGGGCCAGCATGGGGAAGCCACCCTCGGCACGGGCGACAGCGACGACCCGTCCGACGAGGATAGCCTCCCGAAGCCGTCAGGAGCTGCTTCCCAAGCAACAGCGGCAGCGGGTGGAGCCCCGGCCGCATCAGATGCAAGCTCTCACTCCCCCCACTCCACATATTTTTACGCAAGGACCCACCCGTGACATTCCAATATCCCCGCTACCGATGTTGACGACCACGAAAAATCTCTTGGAACATCCTTGGCCGATCCAGTTGTCCCGGGGCCTCTTGTTTTGCTCTCCCCTCTGGCGTTCAGCTACTTTGAAGACGCTAGGCACAACACGTGAATACGTTCACACATATCAGTATGACAGGTCTGAGATTTTCACGGACGCCACGGCAGGCGGCTACAGGTCTGAAGGATGGGACCGCGGATTTCCTGCATGGGCCCTTTGTGTTGTCACGGTCTCTGTTACGCTAGGCAGCGCTCTTGTGGGATCCCTTGCGGGCCCATTGGAATAATGGGATCGTGCTGACCCACACGCCCCGTTTCGTGCTGAACTCGAAGCCGCCATGTGGCATGGTTTGTGTAGTCCACTGCTTTCCCCGATACCTCACTCTGGTTTCTCAGTGACAACATGGATGTCATACGTGTGACGGGAGGGGGTTCTCATACTGGAGCTCCCTGCACAGCTAAATATGTGCTAGATGGGCTCATGCACATCATGCGCGCGCGGCTTACACACGCTTTCACGGGGCATATAATGTGTTGACACGCTGTCACGGCTATGCTCAATGCGGGTACTACCTCCCGTTTTTGAGACCAGCTGGAGAACAGAGATCATGCAGGAACCCCATTGGTCTGCCCTTCCCTGGCGATGGCCAGAATATCTGCTATACGCACAGCGCGCAGCAGGATAAGCTCTACCGCCGCCCCAGAAGCCACAGGTGGACATGCTGGACATCATCCCCGGTGCTGGGCATTTCAAAGCACCTCGCCACGTCTCTGCCCTAGGTTGGTTCGCCATGGCTAACGTTCTCACGATGGAACCGCGCCGCTACAGAGGATAGCATTCAGCAGTCAGGACAATTTGTTCACCATCCTTATTTCATGGCAGGGGCAGTGGAAGCGAGACTAAAACGCACGGGGGTCTCTACGATGGTTCCATGCTTCCCGGGGGGTGTATGTCGGCCAAACCCACGGCGGCCAGCATCGACAGGATCCCAAGCACCCTGCTGACAGCGTTCGCATCACAGAAGGCCAACGTGTATCACCCCATCGTGATCGAAGCCTGCCTTCGACTGGATGGGGCAGCCACAATGGAAAGGGAACAACTGCTAGGCCATCTGGAAAAAGACATCTAAGCCGGCCATCTGTGACCACTCCAGGTCCACAGTGGTCTCGCCTCAGGCAGGCAGCACCTATCGGCAGTTGCTCAGGGACCCCCCGGTACATGCCCTTCCACAGCTCGCGGGGGACAGCCCAATATGATGGCATCTCGGGTAGAGGGGTGGATCTGGCGACTTGAGCTATTCGCAATTTCTGGGAACTGGCATCAGCGCAGAAAGTTCCCGCTCTCTTTTTTCATGCTCGACGCCATCTCTGCCTTCCACAAGTCCATGCACGAGCTTGTGCTCACACTGGGCACCAATGACAAAAACCTGCAAATCATTTTAAGTACCGCGAGTCTCCCACCCACTGCCGTCACTGACCTCAAGGAACACACTGCCAACTAACTTACTTTGTTGCAGCAAGCAGGGATCTCTCACCACCTTCAGGCTCTCACTACAGACAGCTACCATGGATCATATTCTGGTATCCAGGGGCCTCAGCATTTGCCTACACTCTGTCGGGATTAGCTCCAGGGCAGCAACTGGGGGATGTGATTTTCAACTCAAGCTCAACAGGCGCTCCAGGAC